CTCGTGCGCATCTGTTTCCAGGGCGACGAGGGCGCCTGCCCGACCCGGGACTTTGTGGTGGGCGCGCTCATCCTGCGCTCCATCGGCATGGACCCGAGCGACATCTACGCGGTCATCCAGATCCCAGGCAGCCGTGAGTTCGACGTGAGCTTCCGCTCGGCGGAGAAGCTGGCCCTCTTCCTCCGCGTCTACGAGGAGAAACGCGAGCAGGAGGACTGCTGGGAGAACTTTGTGGTGCTGGGGCGGAGCAAGTCCAGCTTGAAGACGCTCTTCATCCTATTCCGGAACGAGACAGTGGACGTGGAAGACATCGTCACCTGGCTCAAGCGCCACTGCGACGTGCTGGCCGTGCCCGTGAAAGTGACCGATAGGTTTGGGATCTGGACCGGGGAATACAAGTGTGAGATCGAGCTGCGCCAGGGGGAGGGTGGGGTCAGGCACCTGCCGGGGGCCTTCTTTCTGGGGGCCGAGAGAGGTTACAGCTGGTACAAGGGTCAGCCCAAGACGTGTTTTAAATGTGGTTCCCGGACCCACATGAGCGGCAGCTGCACGCAGGACAGGTGTTTCAGGTGCGGAGAAGAGGGGCACCTGAGCCCTTACTGCCGCAAGGGCATCGTGTGCAACCTCTGTGGCAAGCGAGGGCATGCCTTTGCCCAGTGTCCCAAAGCAGTTCACAATTCCGTGGCAGCTCAGCTCACTGGCGTGGCCGGGCACTGAACAACCCCCTCCCCGCCTGCCTGCCAGAGTGAACACAGCCAGCTTGCCCCTCTTAAGTGCCAAAACTTTTTTTAAAGCATTTCTTTTTATCGTGTTTTGAAGGAGATCTTTAAAAAACCTTCCAGAGACGTGTTTATGCCTTCTTAAACCGAGTTTACTATTTCAGCTTGTTCTGAATTGGTGATTCTCACCAGTAAGGACTATCCAGAACAGTATCATGCAGATGCTACCCCTCCCTTTATAAAGTATTGGTTTTCTTTTTGTAATTGCGGGGTTTTTTTGTTTTTGTTTTTTTCCATGTGCTTTTTACTGCTCCTCTTCCCACACCCTGACTTCTCCCAGGAATTTCAGCCTCTGGGCTGCTTTGCTGCCTTGTTCATCTTTTTTTTTTTTTGTATCGGGGATCGAACTCAGGTCCTTGCGCTTTCCAGGCAGGCGGCGGCACCACCGAGTTAAATCCCCAGCCCTGCCTTGTTCATGTTTATGCCCAGCTCCAGGTATGGGGCCTAACACAGGAATAGGCTCTCTCCATCAGTGTTTGTTGGATTGAAAACATTGTTAACTGTGGCTTTTGTCACAGTGTCTACCTTTTGCAGCCCTTCCCCATTCCCTTTTAATTTGCTGCTTCTAATCTCTGTGGTCTGAGAATTTGTGAAACCAGTGTTGTTAGAAGTGTTTATAATCTGAATCAATAAGCTCTGAATGGTGGCCACGGGCCTCTCTTACGGCATAAAATGCCTGGACTTTGTGACAGCTCTTCCCATGGCCTAGAAGCCATTTTCGAAAGAATCAAGGAATTGGAAGTTTTTTCTTGCTGGAAAGGACCTGAGAGTTGGTTTAAGCCAATCTTTTGGTTTTCCGAAGATGAAACAGACCCAGAGTGGTTAAATACTTGGGTCAAAGTTGCACAGCTGTCTGGAGCCAGAGCTAGCCCATAGTAGAGTCCCCTGACCCCAAACCCGGTGCTCATCCCACTACCTCTCACACTTCACGACAATTTCCTCCATACTTGAGGGCCCAGAAAGTCTGATCTCTCTCTCTCCAGTGATGAACCCAGAGCAATGACGATAAGTCAGCTGGGGGAGGGAGCAGAAAGGGGCTCCTGAATACAGTACTTGGGAGACAGGGAAGGGACCAAGGAACAAACTCCCAGGTGCATTCATTGCTCCCTGGTTACCCCACCTAAAGTAAATGTGCCAGGTCCTTGAGGCCTTCCCTTTCCCCATTCATTGCCACCAGTGAGAAATGGGGGTGTCCCTGAGTAAAGAAACCTACCAAAGGTTTTACATTTGCACCTTAGCCTCGATAGCTAGGAACCCTAGAGAAGCAGCTAGCTGGAGCTCATCTGCAGCCTCTTGACTCTCAGGATAATGGTGTTTTTAACCCAGAATTCAGTTAACTCTCAAATGTACTTGGGAATAGGCCAAGCAAGAGGGCATGGGTCCACTAAGTATTATCAAGTAAAGTAGAAAACAATACACTGCTTTTTCTTTGTTTTTGTCTTTCATTTGCTATATATTTTGCTATTTTCTTGTGGCTTAGAATGTAAATTGTTAAAAGTTTTGTTCTGAATAAATATTTATCTTTTGTATTGCTAACATGAGGTGCCGTTTCCTTGCAGAGTGTCAGGTACACACACAGTTGTACAGACCTTAGTTCAAGGTACTTTGCTATACACCCGTTTGTTTACCCTGCAAATACATTTCCCACATCTACAGTTTACACGCAACACCTACCTACCCTGTTGTGCCAGGCCCTCTAGCATTGTTACCTATGCGTCCTAATCGCTCAGCTTAGCAGACCGTTAAAAGTCAGGTTTTAAGCCTGAGCCCATCTCCAGGGAATCATACTCAGAGTGAAGTGTTTTATATTAGCATCCCAAGCATTCCGGATGGGCAGCCGGGTTTGAGACCACTTTTGTAAGTGGTACAAGATAAGTGGGACGACTGTGTCCTCACAAAATAGAGGATGTGCAAGGCACTGTTGAGTTTTAGAAAAACACCTTTTTTCCTAGCGGGAGGGGGTGGGGGGGTCACGAAATCTCCCAGAGTGCTGATTCATTCCTCCAAGCCAGCCCTGCAGATGCTGGGCCTGGGGGCAGAACAGGGCATAATGCTCTGCAGCCCCCAGACGATCCTTGGAAGGCCTTTGCAGCCCTGAGATGTTAGGATCTGATCGTAAAAATTGAAAGTTCCCAACGGTCTTGTTTTCTCCGCCCCAGTGACTTTGATACTTCCAGAGTTAAGCTGAATTGGGGCCTCGTAGGACTTGAGTTCCTGCCTTTAGGAGCCAGGTCAGCCCCTTTTCCTTTCACTGTCCCAAAGCAACCAACCCCCTCTCCCGGGGGAGAGTTTCCTCCTTCCCGTCTTCCCTTCCCCCCCTCCTCCTCTGCCTGGGGCCTCCCTCCGCCGACTGCGTTAGGGGCCCGGGTCCGGGAGAGAGCCAGCTTCCCGCGAGCTCCCCGCCCCCTTCTGAGCGCCGGCTGGCACGGATCCAGGGCGCCAGGGTGGAAGGAACCTTCCCGCCCCGGGGCGAGGAGCCGAGGAAGAAGCGGTGTCCCCGCCCATCCCCCAGGATCCGCTCCCCCTGCGGGCCGGGACTGAGCCGGGGGCCCCAGCAGGGCCGGTCTCCGCCGGCTTCCTCTGCCGCTCAGGAGCCCCGAGTCACAAGTCCTCCCAGTCTGTGAACTTCGGAAAGCGTGCAGAGCCCCAGACAGTGGCTGGAGCCGCTGGAGCCGGGCCCGAAGAGCCCCGCGGGTAACAGAGAGCACTTGCTGTTGAGATATAGGCAGCCAAACAGCCTTCACAGCAACAAAGTATTTTAAGATATTTGTTCTGAAAACAGACCACGCTGTATAGAAATGTCTGGAAGTAAAGCTCTCCCTAAAAGATACAGTGTTGACTGAAACCCGTAAGAGGAGTAAGTACTGGGGTTCACAGGGAAGAGACACCCAGGCGGCAGAAACGGCCTCTAAGGCTGGCTGAAGGTCAGAGTGGGGGCTGCGGCCATGTCCAAGCACCTCTAGCCGGTATGTAAAGCACCAGCTCTCAGCAATGCAATACAGCCCTGGGGAAGAGTTGGTCCCTGAGGCCCTAATTCTAGAGTCCCATGAATATATAATCACGGACTCTGATACTGCATTGAAAGAAACAAAGCCAGGAGCAGTAGCAATGATAGGAGGCTAAAGCAGGACGATCACAAGTTCAAGGCCAGCCTGGCCAATTTACCAAGAACCTGTCTTTAAAGAAAAAAAAAGAAACAAAGACGAAGGTAGTAGTATGGGAGCTGTAGCTCTGTGGTGGAGCACTTGCCTAGCATGCAGAGGCCCTGGGGTACCAGTGCAAAAAAAAAAAACTTACCCAATGAAATCTCGCTTTAACAAAGAAATGCGGTCCAGTCTGAGAAGCCAGAGGTAACTTTCCATGGAAAATGTTTGAAACTAGATCAAAAGGGTACATAAAGGAGTTAATGGGGAGCGGGGGTTAAGGGATGGTTAGGAGTATTAACCTAAGCAAAGTTAAAACCACTCTAGTGGGAGAAAGCATGGCCAGTTCTAGGAAACTAAGTGGAGTCCAATATATCAGAGCAGGTTTGGAAATAAACCTTTCTAGGTATCAAATAAAATGATAGTTCTTAGGCTGGATATTTAGCAAAGACTTCTGAAATACAATAGAACTGGCCAGGCATGCTACTTCCTCTCAGAAAGACTAGTTAGGATGCTACCAGTGGGGCAGATAAGTATAAGGACACACTGCTGAAGCTGCTACCTACAGACTTGGATGCTAGGATTAGAAAGACACTGCCTAGCCAGGTATGGTGGTGTGGGCCTGTAATCCCAGCACTTGGGAGGCTGACACAGCAAGGTCACCACAGTCCAAGGCCAGCCTGGCCTACATAATGAGTTCAAGGCCAGCCTACACTCCTGGCAAGACCCTGTTTCAGCAAGAAACCAAACACCCGCCAATGCCACTGCCAGGACAGTGAAATGCTGAGTGCTAGTCCTGCCTTCACGAAGGCAGAGACTGCACTAGTCCTCATAACAAATGGTCATGTGCCGAATTATGATGTGTCAGCCAATGGTGGATCACTGTGGTGGACCTGTAATATTATATCACCTATGACAATGCAGCCACCTTAGTTCGAGTAAGTACACTTTTTGTTTTTACACAAAGTCACAAATGAAAGCAGCCAAAATTACCTGGCTTACCTCTGCCTACCTTCTACTTTCTCGTGCAAGTACCTCTAGTTCCTGGAGCCCTAAAGACAGATGAGCTGGGAGGTAGTCCAGTCATCTTGCATCTGTAGCACATGACTAGGGGAGGGTGTGCTCTGCCTGCCAGGGACCCATCCACAGTGCAGAGGGGAGAGAGATGACCATGCAGGCAAGGGTACAGATCCTGGGATTCTGGCTGGCTTCTAGGAATTTGGGTTTAAGAACAATGAGAGGCCACCAAAGAAGCTTTATGCAAAGTAATAATGCCATTTGGAGAATTTTTGTTTCTGTTATGCCAGGGCTCAACCCAGGGCTTTGTCACATGCTAAGCAGGTTCTCTACCACTGAACTGCACTTCTGGCCCCATGGGGTGTATTTTGAAAACATAGCTTGGGAGCCAGGCTTAGTGATGGAGCACCCCTGTAATCCCAAAACTCTGGGAGCTGAGACAGGAGAATCACAAGCTCAGGCTCAGCCTGGGTCATTTAGTGATTGAGACCCTGTCTCAAAAAAATACAAAAGGGCTGGGGATGTGGCCAATGCAAAGATCATGAGTTTGACCTCCTGGACCAAAAATATAATTATTTAACTAGTAATTAAACAAAATCTGATTTGGGGTACTTTATAGGGAATGAGTACACACAGATATTACATTTCTGGGAAAGTTTTGGACTTGAGATATAAACAAAAGGGTCACAGCAGTGGTTTTCAAACTGTTTCAACACATCCCACAGTAAGATACACATTTTGGGCCAGGGATTTAGCTCAGTGGTGCTGCCACCTGCCTTGCAAACACTAGGTCCTGAGTTTGTACCAAAAAAAAAAAAAAAAAAGATATACATTTTACATTGCATCCATCATACAAATTTGCATATATGTACTTTCATCTAAATCTGAAACAAGTTTCCCCAAAAGATAATTACCCTGTGTATGATGATGCTTCATATTCCTTCTTTCTCTCACTCTCTCTCTCTCTCTCTCTCTCTCTCTCTCTCTCTGTACTAGGGATTGAACCTAGAACCTTTGCACTGAGCTACACCCACAGCCCTTTTGTGCCCAGGCTGGGGTTGAACGTAACGATCTTCCTGCCTCAGATTCCCAGAGTGCTGCCATCCTGCCTAGCTGTTTCATTCTTTCACAAATGTTTACACGTCCTGTTAAATTTTCCTCACATTCTCCTAAATGAGCCATGAGAGAAAGCAGAGGGGAAGAAGCGTATACCAGCTAGAATCATACCTGAAGTACCTCTGACAGAGAGTTGTCCCTCATGGAAAAGGATATGATGATGACAACGTAGGGACTGCCAGGAAGGGTGAAGGAAAACAAGAAAACGTAGACTCATAAACCAAGGGAGAAAAGTTGCAAGGGGGAGGAATTAACTGTATTCACAGTTGCAAAAGGTCGAGTAAAACTGACTTGGAGAAATGTCAAGATCAATACTGAGGAGTCCCATTAGGCTGAGTAAAGTGGGTTTCTCTGCGATACAGATAGGGGCAGACTAGAGAGCACAAATCTTCCTTGCAGACGTCCATTTTCTGTTGCCATATCAAAGTACTTGAGGCTGAGTACTTTCTAGAGAAAAGTTTTGGAGGCTGAAAGTGCAGAATCAGGTGGACCCATCTGGCTGGCCTCTGGTGAGGTATTCATGGCAGGACTGTGTCATCATGGCGGGTGTGTGACAGTGTGTGAGAGTGTGTGTGTGTGTGTGTGTGTGTGTGTGTGTGTGTGTGTGTGTATAAAAAAGACAGACAGAAAGACAGACAGACCAAAACGATGGAGGGCCCAGGCCCCTCTTTTTATAACTCTCCGTTTTCATAGGAAACGACTAGGGTTGCACAAGAATTATACTAACCCCTCACTCGAACACATGTCCACACCACAGTATTCCTAAATACCAGTCCAGCACTTGACCCTACGGCTTCTATGTCACACCCTCGGGGCCTCTCTCCAGCCCTCAGAACTTAGCCTGGCAGCCAGTTCCTCTTACAAGCAACTCCTAGATTCCTTTCCAAACTTACTGTCAGACAAAATGCCCTTTCCGTCCCCTCGTGTCACATCCGTGTGTGGTTGACAAAGAGCAGCAAGAAGGAGCACTCGGTGGCTGGGGGTGGTGGTGGTATAAGACCAAGCCCAGGGCGAGTTCCACGGGGTAAATCTAACCTATACTGCACAGGGCCCATACAGCGCCACTCTCTGGCTTGGTGTAAGTAAAATTAGGGGAAGGACGTGAAAATAAACATAGATTATTTTCTGGAGGAGAATACAAACTGTGCAAAGTTTTAAAATAAAACATAGACTAACATCTTTGGAAAACCGGCACAGCCCTTATCAAAAT